GAGGGGATTGGTCGAGAGGTGGGGAGGGAGCTGTCCGTCAGGGCTTGTCCCCACCCGCAAGAGAGGGGCGGGACTACGTGAGGCGAGCGGGTAGGAGCAGGGCTGGCAGTGGGGCCGCCAGGGCCGGGCCGGCTCCGTTCTGTAAGCGGGCTGAGCCCGCACTGGGCCTGGACTGGGGTGTCACTGGGACTCCAGGAGGGCTGTGCTGGGACAGTACTGAGGTGGGGCACAGGGGGAGTCCATTTCCCCTCAGGTCTGCATTGTAGCCAAAGGCATATTATTCCCTTTATAAGCACACCCCACCACAGCCCCTGCCCCTCAAACCGCCACCACTTCACCTCGGTGTTCCCCATCCATTGTCACCTCCAGCCCAGACATATACAACTGGGCAGTGCTTCTGAAAATAAACCATACGATAGGGATGATCTAGAAGGGACCAGGGTCTATAAGGGACCAGGTGACAGTGCTGGGTTGGGAGCTGTTGGTTCCTGCCCCAGGTTTCAGGCTCCATCCAACCTCTGGATCCTTCTCCCAACCCCCAGCCCTTCTCCCCTAAACAGCAAAGAATCAGGGTTTGCTGAGAGCCAAGACCCCTCTCAGAGCTGGTAAGGCAATGGGCAAACTCCTGAAGGACTGTGGAAACAAAACTCATTAAAAACAGCAACAATCTACCTACTTCCAGCTTTTTCTGGCAGCCAGACCCTTGCGGGTCCTCCCCACCAAAGTGGAAGGCCCCGCTAACAGTCGGTCTGTACTCGATACTCATGCACAGCCTGTTACAGCATTTATATTATATTATATTAAGGTATTAATATTTAGATAGAAAGGGGCTGGCACAGCTTCACACGAGCTATTCCTAGCAGGAAGTTTTCCTGCCGGAGCGCTGGGCTGGGAGCTCAGCCCTGAGTAAAACAAAGTTTGGCTGCAAATGCCATCTCAGCACCAGGGCAGCGCACGGCTGCAGCCATCGAGGAAAGGCTGGGCCAAGCGAGGAGCGTGGTGGGCACCGCGGTGGGCACCGTGGTGGTCCACAGCACCCGCGCAGCTGGGTGACCCTACCCAGGTCCTGTCGCATTGGGGCCCCACCCCGGATGTACAAACGTGACTTCTCCATTTCAGAGCTTGCTTTGCAGTTCTATTTGTTAACCAGCTCTGGAAAACAACACTCACTGCCCAGTTATTTTTCTCCAAGATTGTACCCATTGTCTAGTTTTTAAAAGCAAAAGGGAAGCGATTATCCCACCTTCCCCTACATCCACCATCCACCCCACACTCCAAATTTGGCATCCTACAGAGCCAGCTGCCTTTGTGTGACCGAGCAGCGCTCGCACACGTGGGCATCCGTCAGAGCAGCTGGCCACCGCGGCTGGGAGACTGCTGGCCACCTGGGCTGGGCCAGCGCCAGGCACCTTCCCTGCAGGGCCAGGGCTTCCTGCAGCCCTGGAGAAGAGCACGGTGGAGGCAGGAGGATGCTGTCTCTTCCCCCCTGC